AGTGAGTTCACAATATTCTAGTTTAAGTCTAATTACTTTCATCAATTAAAAGAAGATTGGTAAAATACAAGTGGATCAGTCATTCATGATTCTCCTTATCCATTGCGACTGGAAGGATACGATTTTTTTCGTGGATTAATTTGGTTTATACACTATCATCTTCTAGCTGTGAGTTAATACTTTATGAATGAGTGCTGATAGTACGTTTCCTCCTTCTTTATGATAATTGTGAAATATAAATTCTAATAATGGTCAATTAGGGGGCGATGTATAATCAATAGTTTCTCCTAATCTTAAGCTCTTACTGATAAAATTAAATTATATATCCCCAGTTACGTGCAATGTACTGAGTACATCGCTTAGCTGATGAATTTTGGAATATATTATCTAAATTACTCAAAAAATCTTCCATTGAGGTTCCGATTTCATATTAAAACACTTAATTCATCTAACTGAAGCCTAAAATTATAACTACAGGCTATACAACACAAGATTTACCATAGCTTTCTGCAATGTTAAATTGGTTAATTATGTATTTTTGTTAATAGTATCAACATTTGATGAGGTTGATCACATGTACGTAGGAAGTATACAGGGTTCGAATAATTGAGATAAGTTGAATTAAATTTTGAAGAGTAGATAAATGATGCTTTATAATCAGATAACTTACAACATCGACTGATCACCGAGTATTGATTAATGCTACGTTTGTCTAAAACTCAATATCACGTAGAATTCTATCTATTATGTTCTCGCCCTAGTTAATTTTGCTCCAGATGGCTCAGTGGTGACATCATAGACCTTGAAATTAAGTGACGCCTTTTCAAATCCAACATAGAAAATAAAATGCTTCAGTATTGTTAATTGTTTTTTGATGATAATGAGCATGAAACCTAGATTTTGCAGGCTTTTTTTGCTAACTACCTTCAACCTCCTCACAATATACAACTATTATGTTTGGAGTAATATCAGAGCGTTTGTTCATTCTTCTTCCTAACAAACCAATTTTACATTGGAATTACGTCATAGTTTACGACTATCACTTGTTTAATACCTCTTTTATTATCGAAATTAGTGTACTAGCATCTCAAGTTAATATTTATAATGATGACGACTGTAGTTGAAAGGAATTTAGATAAGCAGTATATGAATAGCTGACTATGCAGTGGATTACTTACTGTATGGTTTTAATGATCTTAACCCAGATCAATTCTATACGATCCACCGGCATTGACTGAACACTCACTAAAGAGAAGACTACACTTTTGACAATAAAACTTCCAATGCCTTTTCAAAATGTAAAAGTGAATTACTATGATATCCATCAAAAACTCCTTCTGATATTAATCAACGTCTGCTCACTAGTAACTGGCCTCAAGAGATGATTCCTGGAATTCTAGTGAGAATCAGTGACCAGTGGAGTTCAACCGGGTCTGTTGTGAGTTAGTAACTCACTGAAGACCATAGTGGATGTGTCGCTCAATTTCGTGGATTCGTTGAAGTTAGATATTAACACCGTTGGATGCCGGCTCAGTGGTCTAGTGGTTAAGCGCTCGCGTGCGAGACTGATAAGTCCTGAGTTCGAATTTTGCGAGGCGAGATCGTGGATGCACGCTGGTGAGGAGTCCCGTACGTTTTCCATGATGGTCTAGCTTCAACTGACTCATGATCTTATCTACTGAAATTACTATAATATGCACAAAAATCCCTTCTGATACTAAAAAATGAACTATCAATTGTTCGTAACTATAATTTATCATTGACCTAGAAAGTGTGCTAAACTTTCAAGCGACCAATAACATAAAAGTCAAGATTATCATGGGGAATGTAGATTTTAGAAACATGATTATCTTATAGCGATTCAAATATAAAAATACGAATTTTAAAACAAGTAAATAAAGATTTAGAGGACAGATTAGCAATATCTAAGTTAAAAGGGTAATTATTAAGTAACTGACAGGTTATTGTCAACTACTGTCACAGCTCGTTTTTACAATTATCTTGATAAATTACTCGTTAAAATATTGAATTTCTAGTGGAGCCCGTTGAGTTCGTTGGCGTAAACGGGCTCTCCACTTTTTGTGGGGTCCTTTATTTAGATGTCAATTAGATCGCACGATGTTGTCGAAGGGCTCTCTACTTTAGTGGCCCGTGATCTGAGTCCAAGTAGACCTCATGAATGATTGTTATTGAAATATATATTCGCCTATCCTCGTATATAATCATTGACTTAAATCGCGTTAGTTTATAACGGAATTAAATAAGTCAAATACCGAGAATGGACTTTTGAACGCATATATTTTGTATAATCGTTGATTAGACAAACGAACGGGGGAACGATGCGAAGAGAAAAAAGCGAAGCTAAATTGACGCGCGGTGGAGATGGTTGGTAAGCCAACTCCCCATTTAACCAAGCGTTAATCAATATTTATAAGCACACAAAAATAAGTTACAGACATGTGATGAAGTGAACACACGCCTATGCATTCATATAAAAACAGTCAAGATTGATAAGCGAATAATTAACAAGATTAGAATGTGACTCAAGTAGAATGAATAGAATGGGCTGTCCGAAAGCCAGATAAGGCATATGAGCTTAACATAATAACAGACGCTACAAATTTAACCTTGAAAATGATTCAATTTTAACATACAAATTCCTAATCTATTATTCCTATGTAGAAATAACAATCAGAATTCTTGATTTTACATAATTCATTACCAGTATTTCGTTTTTCAATAGATTTTCATTCATTTAATTACTAAATTTTTCCAGAACTTTCTTATCGTTATACTACGCCTTATTTAATTTTCCCGCCCTTTGACTTCTCTATTTCTAAAGTACACATATAAACATAAATAAATAAAATTTGTTTTGCTCCGGTTGTTAAAAGGGGCATCGGCCTCCTGACCTCCGAAGGAACTCAGCGTTCTTCTAAATGAAGACCTAACTTCCAGGGCAGAATTTAAGTGGTTTGGATTATTTTTCCGGTTAGTGGTTTTTTAGTGAGTTAGTTTTCTAAGGGATGGGGTCGCTAACCCCACGCCCAACCCTCTTCCTTTATCCGGGTTTGGGACCAGCAGTAGCTCCAGTGGGGATCCAGACGGAGTTACACATATAGACAGAACCACCTAAAATGTTTTCTTTATATGTTGCTTCAGGTGTTATAAAGTTACTAATTTCAATTATATATCATATTATTATTAAGAATAATATATCTGTATTATATCAGTCGGTAGAAAAGTTGAATCCTCTGGCGTTTTGTGACTCAGTATAGGTCACTTCTTTAGAAAATAAATAATCACATTAAATTAAGTCAAGTTTACCTAATAAAAAGGAACAAAGTAAGTATATTTAGTGCAATCAGTCAAAAAAAACAAGTATGACCAAGTCAATGTTATATCATTTCGGTAGAAGAGATTTATGTGATACATGTTTGTGTAGTTTTGCGTGCTTGTGTTAATAGATGAAATATGTGTAAGGATGGAGTTGAATTTGTATGTACGATAATAGTGTGTGGTGTGAATAGACATGGTAGGTTGGTATGGTCTTCATTTCTACTGATGGAAATGTGATTAAGTAATATAATTGCTTAATGCTCAATTTATTTGAATATATCAAGTAAAACCTTGGTAATAACATTACTAGTTAAATTAAATGGATAAAATGTCGCTATCAAGTTCAATTGTTTAAACATATGGCAACAAATTCACACCGGGAAATTTAAAGTTCTTTATGTTTATTAAATTCTGAGAATTTCGTCTTGAAACGAAACATCTGTTAATTGTTTCTTAATTTTCAATAGTCTCTCTTCTGCCGATCTGATATTGATTAGTAGCAATGATCATCTTTAAGCAATAAATTTTTTCTAGTACTCAAAATATATGTACAAATATATTTATGTTAGAAAACATTTGTTGATATGGGTTTACTTTGTTTTTTTTTTACATCAAACGCATTCTTGATTGAATTTCAAGTGAAAATTGATGTAATTAACCTAGTTTGACATCATTACTTACTTACGCCTAGGCCACCCAAGACAGAATTCTCCATTGAACTCTGTTCTTGGAAATCCTTTCCAGTTGTTTTCAGTTGCTATTGATTCTTTGGATGTATGCTTCCGATTCCCCTTTTCCTTTTCCCTTCAGAATTGCAAGGTAGGACATGCTTCGTGATTCAATTCGATGATTTCCACAATGTATGTCTTATCTACCTTCAGCGTCTTTTCCTGATTTCCTCTTCATCTGGAAGCTAGTTTGTTCTCTCCCACAGTAGGCTGTTGCTGATATTATCCGTAAAACGGACATTCAGTATCTTACGTAGACAATTGTTTATCAATACTTGTGCATTTCTGATGATGGTTGTACTAGTTATCGAAGTTCCAGCTCCATACAGTAGAACTGTCTTGACATTCGTATTAAAAAAAAACCCTGGAAGATGTCGTAGTATGTAATATCAAAATGTGAGTAGAGACAGTCAAAAGTAACTGTTTAACTTATTTAATTCAATTGATGAAAACATTAAATATCAGTATTAATCAATGCTATTGACAATAAAAAGCTCTTACACTTTATTCGATTGCGGTGAACGAACACTTAGGTGGGGATAACCAATTTATCATTTAACTCCAAATATCACAAAGCTTTCGAAAAATATGAAAATCACATATTAAGTCTTTCATTTACACGTCTCCTTTCTGTTGTCCTGCACATGCTTCTATATTCTTCATATTCGGCTGTCATTTTAATTCCTCTCCGTTTCCTTTTCTGTTTTTCTTAATTCATTCTCAAACGTCTGCTATCAGGCACTCTATTTCCGATTGGTATTACATACTACTTATACCTGTCAACATAAGAAGCATACGCCACGTGTTTACTGGTTTTTTTCAATGGTTGAATTAATCAAGTCTGATTTAAGTGGATTGATATAAACCACAGAACACCATACAATTCATCACATTTTATGTTGTTTGTATTTCTTTTGCTTTACGCTGTTGTAGATGGAATTTCATCGGCTTTCGCTTCTTCATCATCCTCATCTACTTCATCATTGTCATCGTTTGGATCTATATTATCAAATAATAATAATAATAATAATAATAATAATAATAATAATAATAATAAGTTAATATTAGCTACTGGATCAGCATGTCCATCAAATCCTGGAATTGCATGTAGTCATGATTATTTATCAGTTGATGCTCATATATCTAATGTTTATGATGGTACAGTTAGTAATATACCAATAATTCGTTTTTGTTTAATCAATAATTCCACATTGAATACAATCACTACAAAGACAAAAACAAAATTAACAGAAATTGAAATGATCAATTCATCGTTATCTTCTTCTTCGTCGTCGTCGTCTTCTTCTGCTTCAATATCTTCTGGATCATTTTCATTTAATTCAATAGATTATAATAAATTATATCCACCAGATGAATCATATTTAGTTGGACAATTTTATGGTCCAATCAGTAATGTATACGGTTTACAGTTTACATCAAATTTAAATTTATTAGATCCTTATATCATTCATGGAAAAGGCATAATGTTAGAATATATTGGTAAGCATTGGTTTCTTTTTTCTACATAGATTGTTTAAATGTTTATGTTATACATGATGGACTGATTGTAGATAGATGGTTATTGAAAATCAGAAAACATTGTACGGCTGTTTCTTTCTAGCATCAAACTCTTCAGTATTTTTTACTGATAAGCTATTCAAAGAATTTCAAACTTTATGGCTAGAGATTAATCCTTATACTAACCAGTTGGGACGTAATGGTCAACAGTCAACTTACAGCATTACGAAATCATTATCTAGTGATATTGATTTGTAGCTATCTCGGACCCGATATAATCGAACTACATTGATGATAGCCTCTTACTATAACTGTAGACACTACCTCTCGAAATTATTCATTACTGAGGGTTACTGCGGGCTGAATCAAGTTAGAAACGTAAACCTGATATGTAGCTGATAAAAATACTGATTGGTTGTTTACCTAGTCAGACTAGTAGATGGTCTGACAAGTATAAGATGTGTCATATGTTTTCTATCACATTATTATTATTTATTGTTGTTCGTTGTTGTCGTTGAAATATACACACGTTCTAGTCAGGGCAGTCACATGTTCTTGATCAAAATTGTATTGAAGTCCTGTAGAATAGACACCGGAAGGCTGTCTGGTATAGCTGTTTGTCCCATTCATGTTAAAAAAATTTCGAAGGTCATTTCAAAACCACCGTTCTTGACTCAGTGGTCGAAAGTTTATACAGAGGCTGTTAGGTCTTTTGGTTTTTAACTTGATCTATGTTAGGCTTGTGGATGTACACTATTCAGAAGTCTTATATTAAGACGAAACAGTTGTCTGGTGCCTACTAGTTTTCAATGATCGTCTGGTTACAGGAACTTCACGATGTCAACTACAATATATAACTATTTTATGAGTATGTCCTACCTTTTACGAAGTATTGTATATCAGAGTAAAGTTTAGTAAAGATCAAGTTAGAAACAACTCTGTTCATCTAGATATCTTGTTTTAATTTTCCCAATGAGAATTTCTGAAATTTTAGTGTTGACATTAGTTTGATGACTATCAAAAATCAAGATACATTGACACCCATTACATTCATGTCTAATCAGTAAAAATGACATCACCTAACCATTTAATAATTTCATATTTCGTCACCGATTGATGATGAATTCAAGTGACGAAATGTTTAGGGATAATTACACTTCGATGTGTAGTGCTCATTGATTTAATATTACTTACTTACTTACTTATTTTCTCTGGTTAGCGTTATTTTAGCGGTCGCTAATCCCATACCCAACCCTCCTCCTTTATCCAGGCTTAGAACCGGCAGTAGCCCCCGGAGGGACTCCAGGCGGAGTTTGATGTCAGACATGTTAATATTATACATATAAAAAACAACCATAAGTGTTGAATGCATTACAATGACTGAATATTGAAAATATTCCAGATAAACTCAAGTATAACAGTTCTTTTATTAATATGAAATTAAAATCAACTTGATTGTGTTTGGAGAAAATAACACACACACACACACATAACACTGAAACTTCAAAAGTACTCAGTTAAATCGTTGATTTTTATTGATTGGTTAATTAACTGGTTTATTTATTTATTCATTCATTCTTTCATTGATCTATGGATGATCGGTGATTTAACTAATGTATTCTCTCTTAGCTACTCAATTGTGTTTGTTATGTTTACTCACTTATCTATCTGTCTATTTATTTATTTATTTATTCAGTTAGTTATGTGTTATGATAGTGATTATTGCATGCTATTCACTTCACCTTACCTCAACTCACCTCACTTCACTTCACTTACCTTAAATTACATTTCTAACTGAATATATCTATTGAGATAAGTTTAATTGATTTTCAATAGTCTCTTTTATATCATAAAACTATGTATGAATTAGTAGAAATTTCAGTATATTATGGAATTTATTTGTATCATCATGATATCATCATCATCAGTAGTAGTAGTATGTGTGTGTGTGCTCATTTTTTTTCCATTAAACAATAAGTATGTAATTAAAACTAGTATATTCTAATTATGTTTATGATACCATTCATTGTTACTATCCAAATCTATTGAATAATTAGGGTTTGATTATGAATTGATGTTATTAATTATAATAAATAGAAATTTTCAGTGGAATAGTTAAATAGTTTAATATGTAAGTTAATATGTGGTTTTAGGAATAATAATTTATGAACTGGAACTGTTAGTATAGTTGGCACAAAGAATAAAATTGAAGTCGGCATTAGGTATTAGGTAAATATGATAAATTATTTGATGAGGTAATAAATCTTTATCAACTGAGTTGATTAGGATATTTCTTACGTATACCTGATCACTACCTATCTCGACGGGAAATATTATCTGGTTTAAGAGTAGGTTAGAGTAAGCTTGTGGGGCCCCTTATTTTGTGTATATTTAGATCGGACGATGTTGCCGAAGGGCTCTCCACTTTAGTGGCCCGTGATCTGACTTCAATTTGATCGTATGAATGTTTGTTATAGCCTATTCTCGTATATAATCATTGACTTAAATCGCGTTAGTCAATAACGGAATTAAATAAGTCAAATAACGAGAATGGATTTTTAAATACATATATTTTGTATATGAAGCGAATGGAACAGAGAGAAGAGAAACGATGCACATTGAAGATGACTAGTAAGCAAACTCCCATTTAACCAAGAGTTAATCAATATTTATAGTTACACAAAATTAGGTTACAGACATGTGATGAGTAATGGGATAAGAAGTGTACACACGCCTACGCGCTCATATAAGACCAGTCAAGATCAATAAGCGAATAAATAACAAGTTTAGAATGCGTCTCAAGCAGAATGAACAGATTGAGCTGTCCGAAAGCTAGAATAAGGTTTATGGGCTTCACATAATAACGGACACTACAAGCTAAGGGTGGATAAACCAAGATGTGACACTAGTTCATGAAGTCACTAACACTTGGATTGAGTCATTTAAGTAACTTCAGATTACTGGGTTGGAGTAGGGGTGATTAACCTAAATGATGATTAGCAACTTTGGTTGACATAAGTCGGAACCATTCACAATAGTCCATATACATTCTCTCCTTGTCTTGCTTTCGAACCTAACATGTGTCACAAAATCTCTTTATACTATTTTTTCTTTGCCTGCACATAATTTTTACTAACACTGCACATGTTATTTTTATTCTAAGTAATCTGCGATTTGTCTCGATAATTCCATCTCTATGCTAACGTGAGCTGACGTACATATGTAATAGATTCTACATTGCACATGACTATAACTTTGAAAGAGGAAGCGATAAGGCAGACTTTGATAGTAGAGATAGATATTTGTTAGCGGAATGTAGAATTTATTAAAGCATTTTCCATCTAGGATTGTGTTTAATCAGGCTGATTGGCCATTTCGTAGACAGCCAACGCTTCCGGAGACTTGGAGACTAGAATCTTATAAATATACTAACGTTTTTTATTGTGATTCTTCCTTCCATCCATTTGGAACATAAATTACGTTCCCGTTCAACCATGTTCTGATTTCGGGACTTGTCGAGTGAAGTAATGTTCTGGAGTACTAGGCCATAGGAGTAACTGGTTCGTAATAAGAGGAATTAATACAGTATCACACTTTGTCTAGAATTTGGTTAAAAAACACTTTGGGATTTTAAAAATCACTTAACATGTATAATTCTTTTTTTATCGATTTCTTGTATAGCTTTGTTATGTGCTCCTATCAATCCACCAAGTGGTAATGGAGTAGTTGACTATCGGTTCCGTGTAAATCAGCAAACATCCCATACTTTCGCTTATGCTGAAGTATTCTGTCCATCTGACCGTTGGTTAGAGCCAATGGATCCAGACCAAGATGAAATCAATCCATCACAATCATCCTCGTCGTTTTCATCAACAGGTAATAGATCATCACTTAATAATAATAATAATATTCCTAATCCATGGTGGTTACAGCGTAGAAGACATGTAACACTGATTTGTGATCATCACGAACGTAAATGGATACCAAATCGACTACCAGAAGCTTGTTTAACATGTAAGTCAAAATCTTTAAACATAGGTTGTAATAGAAATATTTAACTGAATAGTAAATTCTTGAGAAACAATCCATGTAGTTGAAAGGTTACTTAGGAATTCGTTTGCATTCATCACAGATAGGTTTTAATTAAATATATCATTGAAAATCAGGGTGTACCAACTTGTTGTTTTATCCTATTGTTGAGATTCTCAGTTATGTATACCTTTAATTCAATGAATACTTATCCTCTGGAACTACTAGTTTTGTGGTGTGTGCTACTTATGTAGACATAAGTAGTATATGATGTTAGTCGTGAATAGAATGTCTGGCAGCAGAGAGACAAGAAGATCGAACAGTAAAGAATGAAGACAGAATGTAATTTGTATGAAAATGCAAGAACAATGAAGTCGGAGTCATTTTGAAACAATTAATGGACATTTCGCAAATTGAGCATTTACTACATGGTTGTTAGATTTTACTGACTAGTTCTGTAATTTATTGTCCCCGTTGATGTTCTTGTTCCCTACAGTTTCAGCACCCAGTGCTATAATTTAAACTTCAACTAGAGTTCGATTTAGTTGTGTAATGAATGAGAACACAGGTGGAGTTAACTAGTGTATTTTAATGAAAAAAGAAACCCACTTAGTTTCATGGTAAAATATAAGAACTATACATTGAATACTTCATTTAATCTTCAAATTCCAGTTTACAATTCCTTTCTATTTTCACCTCGGTGAGACTATAATTTATGGACGAACCAATCAGATTGAAGAGAACAGATCTCAGATTTTGGCGCGAAATTCACTCATCCATTTGGTTAAATAAAGTTTTGGCATTATAGCCGATGTCAATTCGTGATGAAAACGCCGAAATCTAATTTTTAACCCTAACCATAAACTGTAAATATTAATAAAGACTTCTTACACTGATTTATAATCCTCATTTGGCCGTGGTGTGTAGCTGGAAACTCTCAAGGTTGCTTTAGAGTCGCTCAAAGGTCGACCATAAATTACAGTCTAACCTTCACTTCTATTCTCTTCAACTAAAGTTTCTTAGCTTTCTACTGCCAAGGTTTCCACTTTCAATTGGTGTTACATATTACTTATGTTAACAGACTTAAGTTGCGTACACCACAGTTCTAAAATTAATCAATCCAATTAATGATAATTTTTTCACTCTCAACATATTTTAACTTCAGGAACATCTTAAAATAAGTCATTAGTGAGCTGATTATCATAGCTAAGTCAAAGTAGTTCTAGCCGGATTAATTTAATTTATAGATATTATTCATCACAGATTGATCTCAGTCGAAGCACTAATGTAACAATGGTCCGGTGTTCAATACTTTTCGATGGTACCCTAAGATCAATCTGGGATCAATACAATTTATAGATTAACCAATCAACAGAGAACCCCATTCAACCTAGATTCAATCGTAATTAAATTTTTGTTTAAATCACCAACGTGTAAATTTCAATTAATCATCCTAAAAATAATACATTTTCTCTTCATAAAAGCTCTTATCCTCTTTACTATGACTCATTAGAATTAGTCATAACGATATTTATTTGTTTGTTTATTTTATATTATGTAAACATTGTTTTGTTTTATTAGTTAAACAGTTAAGTTCAATGTTCAAACTTCACTAATTTGTTCTTGATTTCAAAAATACTGTGTTATTTATCTCACGATTAGTTCAGTTGTGATTTAGTGAACGAGAACAAAAGTGAGGGCAATCGAATGTATTTTAATTCAACATAATAGAATAACTTAGTAAACTTTGAGAATTATACAATAAATACTTCATTTATAATATGTTCATCAATTGTTTCAGACGTCATTTTTCCTGCATTTCCATACATTCTGTCCCCGTTCTTTTCTTCTCGATCTTCTTCACCTTCTTCTAGCAGATATTCTATTCCTGACTACCGTTTTATAATACTTATATCGATTTAAGTAGCACACACCACAGTGAATTGAATTGTATCGTGATCAGTTGTTTAATGCTCAATGTGTTTTTTTTCATTTTTCTATACAATTATGATGGTGTACGTTTTCTAGGACAATAAAAGGGAACTCTTTTTTATGTTTAATCAAGCTATGTTAGGATTATATTCATTGCTATCGTGAATAGAAATACTTTCTATAATGGAATTCCCATTATTGGTAGACGAAGAAATTTATGGAAATCAACTACCACCTCATTCCTATCAGATTTGCACACTAGAATTGATGAGTATTTTTTTCAGTCAATAACGATATACTCAATTTGATAGTTTACATTACAGACTGACTAATAGTTAAACGACCATTGAAAACCAAGTGGTATGAATGGGACTCCGCATCATTATGTATCCTTAACCTAACCAACAAAGATCAAACACGGGATCTTCAAGTATTTCAGTGAGTGTGTGGCAATGAAAACTATTAGCTTGGTATTCAAATAGTGCTTAAAGCGGTGTTTTATTTCCGTTTAGGTCGTGTTATTTATTGACAGAATGTAAAAGCCCTCTAAATATTTTCAACTGTGTGTTCCTAAACCCAAATGCCCTGGCATGGTCAGAAGGTAGTCAGCTCTTCCACTTGAAATGTCTCACATGTCAACGCGAATACAGTCACTCCCATAGAAGTCTTGCTCACTGACCTCTCGCTGTAGGGGTGTTGTTTAGGAAATGGCGAAGACGAAAAGTGAATATCCGGCGCTTTAACCAGGTTGGTGGACGTAGAGGGTTCGTCTAGAGTAGTTGGAAATCTGTGACTCCAAATCGGTGGTGCACATGACTTGAGGAGTGGCCCCCGAAGAGAACCACCTGTTTCGGTTTGGATGCCCGTTCAGTATTCCAGCTTTCACACAAATCGAATGATCTGTGTGGCGCATTGTACCAGTGTTTATATGTTAAAATAAATAAAAATAAACTCTTATAATGAGTTTTGAAAGTCTTAAGCTGAATCTTATCAATTTATTTGTCAACCAATAAACAGATATATTTTGAGATGAAGTTTATTTTGTTATAAGTTACGAAATTTCAGTTAACTAAGTTTTTTATACCTTAATTAAGTGATCACTTTAAGTGACAGAGTTATAAAAAATTCTATTAACCGTTTCGTCCTAGTGATAGACTCCTCAACAATTCGTATTTCATAACCCCGTAATCTAGAATGGAATATCTTAACAATTGACCCAGCATTCAATGATATTAAAGTTAATCGAATGTTGAATCAATGGTCTAGAATTAAAATTCCAAGTTTCAAGGGTACTGTAGATCCTCACTACTGAAATGTCTTTTAATAAGACAAAACGGACATTCATTAATATTAGATTTTCAATGTCTAACGAACTTAAATCAGTTCATAATCTCAATTATTTTTTTTTCTTTTGTTATCCGAAATATCATTGTCTTGTTCTAAATACACAATAATTTAAAAATTTGGACTTTAGACGTGTACTTGTTTATTTATACTACAAAAACAATTGTGAAATAAAATGTAATTAGCTTTTTTATTGTTATTTAAGTAGAATTATTAGTCAATTCTCATTGTACATCATATACATATGCCCCCCTCCTCCAAACACACACACACACGCATATGCACAGACCAATTTATATTTCGTAAATAAATATCATAATTACCAAGTAAGTTAGAAGCGAGAGGGAGTGAGGGTGATTGGAACTATATATATATATATATATATATATATATATATATATATATATATATATATATATATATATATATATAGACAAGAAATACTCAGTGAAAATGACTATCATAATAATGATACATGTGATTCGCAATGATTAATTTGCTATATTGGTTAAATTACATAAATACATAATTGTTCCAGTTAAAATGATTGTTACATTGAAAAAGAAACAATAATTTTGTTTATTCATGGCACTTGTCATGAATTAACATCGATTTTTTTGGTGGGGGTATTATTAGAACGTACGGTTCGTTGTACAGATGCTTCATGCTAGGACGAGACTCTTCAGTAGTGCATACTAACAATCTCAGCGGGGATCGAACCTCAATACTTTCAGGTTTCACAGTTAACTTCGATAGAGATTTATGAAAGTTCTAGTGAAAATTCGAGACGAGTTTAGTTCAACCGTGTCGGGTGTGCGACAGTTATCTCGCTAAGGTATTTCATATAGTTTACAAATTATGAAATTTTTTGTTCTAATTCTGTTTTCCGAAAGCAATTAATATTAAACAGTTTCAACCTGACCTATAAATATAGAATGCAAAGCATGATAAATCTTTTTTTTTCATAATAAATTCTAACTGCAATTCAACGGAATAAGTTTTAGAAAGATCGGTTTATTTTTAGGTTAAATTCGTCTCAGATTGATATTAGTTTGAGAAAGCATAGGTTTTAGTCAGATGAAGGTTTAAACAGACAATCTCGCATTAATTGCTAACGGATTGAATAGAAAATTTGTCAGTTCAATGTTTATTTTAAATTATCAATGGATGCCGGTTCAGTGATCCAAAGGTTAAGCGTTCGCGCGCGAGACCGATAGATCCTGAGTTTAAATCTCGCGAGGCGGGATCGTGGATGCGCATTGCTAGGGTGTCCTACAATAGGACGAAATGGTCGTCCAGTACTTTCAGGTTTTCCATGTTGGTCTAGTTTCAATGGGTCTCATGATCTCAACTATTAAAAATATTAATTATTTGTTTAAAGAAAAAGAAACAATAACACTTATTCATTTTTATTTACTTTATAGCCGATGAACTTGCCACATTTGTTGCACAAATCACTAAAAATTTACAAGAAATGGAGAAAAAAACAAAATTATCCTTAAATAGTAATCAATTGGATATGAACAATAGTAATGATATCATGTTGAAAATTTTGACAAATATCGACCAATCAGAATTAAATACTACACATACATCATTGTATTTGAAAGCCGCTAATAATAATGATCAAGTTACGCATCTTTCATCAGGTAATTAAAATAAATCAGAGGAACACAGTTGTTTTCATTCAATTTTCCTCATGTTAACATTAGTTGCAGTATGATTGAAGAGGCAAAATCTGACTCACACGTCAGCGTGCCTCCTGGATAGTGGGTCGAATGACTCATGAACTAACGTGAGGGGTAATTCGGGTGGTGGAGATCGGGCTTATCACCTACTCTTACCGATACCCACAATCTGATTACGAAACTCACAGAGAATGATTGGAGAGAAAAACTTAATAAGTCGTGTAATATAATAAGATGGAATACCAATAAAGGAAAGATATTTGTTTTAATTTCTTTAGTTGTAATTTTGCTGAATCTAGATATTTTGTGTCATTCATACTAATAGTGTGATCATATCTGAGCACTTTATCATTATGTTTTTATACAAAAGTATTCATGCAGTATAGCCACTGAAATAATAATTACAATTATGATTATCATACTGATCGCTCTATAAACTAAATGGTGCATATTGTGATAATTATGTATAGAAAGGACTACTTTGACACCGACTACTGTAACCATTTCATATTCATCCAGAAACGTTTTGTTTATAGGATGCCTCTTTTTATCGTGTAACAAATGTGTAGTGAACGAGTATACTACTGGGGACAAATGAATGTGTTTGAGTATAAAATCCCTTAGTAAATTCTAAAGATCATACATTAAATACTTCATTTGCAAAGTGTTAATTATTTGTTACAGACTTGATTTTTTCTTTGTTTCTACACCAATCACTCTCTGTTCTCATTCTCTTCGATCTTCTTAACCTTCTACTACCTGGCATATCACTTTTGATTGGTATTACATACTACTTATATCTGTCAACATCAGAACACACCATATATATGTTAAATATATATGTCCTAAATTAATCCCCTCTTGTTTTTCTTCTTCACAGAACAGACAAAGTATATGAAAATATACGAACCATAATATTAGTGATTTTTAAGTTGATCAGTAAATAGATTGAATAAGTAAACATTAATAACAGATCTAAACACACATCGATAAGAAAAAAAGTAACTTGAAACTAATTGTGATCATTTATAAGTCTTTATGAAGTATTCATTTATAATGTAATAGTCTTTAAGTAACACTTTCATGGTATTCAAACTATCAATGATACTGATTTACTACTGAAATCAAAGTAAATCATGAAGAGAATATGAATACGTGATTTATTGATTGATGAATTGTGCAAGTATTAAAATAAACCCTCATATTATAAATTTGTTTTTGAACTGAATCTTAACTGTATGTACTAATGCGGTGTTCTGTGAATAGCTTACCAAACTTATCACATTACTTCAATACTGGAAATGTTGAACTAAGCTACTCTAGTTATTCGTACATTGTTCTCTTTATTAGTATTCTTTTGATAAGTAAAAAGCAACAAAGACAAGTATCTTGAAAATCTGATTAAAAAAAAGTGGTTGTAGTATCTGAACTGATAGAAAATTTTCATCATTAAAAATGAATCAGTAGGTCTAGGCTACTGAAGTTTATCGTAATACTACAAAACTGATGCTGAGAATTCGTTACCGTTGCATAATTTATACTAGTGAATATTGTTATTATGTTCATAAAAATAAGAATAGTTTAACGATCTGTCTGCACTGCATCACTGAAAGTAGCAAATCTAACAAAGGGATAATTCGATACTGAAAAATAATCGGCAAATGTTTTTTTTCTGACTTGCGAACTAACCTATGTTAGACAACCATTGAAAACGTGGAGTCTCTGAACAACTATTTCGTCTCAGTTTGTTAATTCACAGCATTGCGAATCCAAAACCTCAACGATGATAGGGTCAAGGATTTTCAGGTCTCATTGAAAACTTTGTCAAATAGTCCGAGATTTCTTATGACAAGCTGGGACAAACGAATTTTAACCTTATGGGATATGAGACATTTATTACACATTAGCAATGGATGAAGGTTATTTGTTATCCCTAACTTATTGAAATTAGACATTTAAACCATTGGACGCGCCCCCAGTCGTTTATAGGTGGATTTTTTGTCGAGAGACGTAAAGGTCTTGAGTTTTGTCGTCTGTAACGCTGGGTCGTAAATGAATACTACTGTGGAGTTCCATATTAAGATAAAATAACAGTCCAGTGTTTCAATAGTTATCTAACATAAGTCAGTTTGTTATTTCAATGACATCCAACAATCTTTATGTACTCTATCATATTTGTGAGTTCTCCAGATTGTGACAATATTATTTATTTTATTTAATTATGTGTAAAAGTAGATATTACTCACAAGAAATAATCAAAAACACTTCATTTTTTTCTTTTTATGAAGTTCAATAATATTCAGAACTTGTTTGAAAGTCATTTGAACAGGATTTCACAAGATCCAGTCCGATTAATCCTTTCAATTTCTTGTTAAATTCAAGATGTTTATTAGTGTATACCAAAAACAGTACATTTCTTCTTATTTATTCAAATAATTATAGATTATTATTAGTGTTGTGACTTTAGAGTGAACACTCAAGCTAGTGGGATCTAAGGCGAGCGTTTCTCTCTATTTGAGACTCATCAGTTGTGTGAACCTATATTTCAGTCTGCTAAGTATGGTAGACTCAAACTCAGTACTTTCTTATTTATAACAAACCCATCATCGACTAAAGTACTAAGTTATTCAATAGGAATAAAGTTATCAGTAAGGGTTTGTAAACTCCAGTTGTTGATATTCAGTACTAGAACTGATTATTCTCTGTCACTATATGAACATACTGTGGAGATTATCTTGTCAATATCGACTAATTTATGTTTTCTTTTGTAGTTTGGTTGTCTTAATTCATAGAGTATTACTAAATTTCATAACAAAACTAATTTTATCAACAATTTTCGCCTCAGATTAATCATATTTGGTTTAGCATTAAAAATCATGCAGTAACGGAGACCTGTTTTTGTAGTATTATGAGATTGCCAAAGGGTGTATGCTCACAACCCTAAACCCAGGAATCTAATCCAAGACAAGCAAGTCTCATGACGAATGTATATCCGTTAGAATCATTGGGTTTGGGGTCTATTGATACATGTATCAAACACCAATTAATTTACAATTTGGCACGATTGTCATCCAACAGCATTCGTAACATCTTCTGACTAGGACTCATTTAAAATTAAATCACTACTGAGTTTGTTATTAGTATTTTGAATCAAACCATAGCAAATATTAATTACCAATGAAGGTGATCTCCGCAAAACACTAATTCATTTAGATTTTTATTGTTTTTGCGAATGTATGTATGTTCACCTAAGTAGATTTCATTTCCTGAGCCATGATTAACGTTCAAGTGAAAAAACGCAAATGTTACGAATACCTTTTGAGTTCTTCTATGGCTGAAGTTTTCTACATGGTGTTGTATTGACCAAAAACAAGAACCGACCAGAAAATTGATCACCGACATATGTATTTTGGTAATAATTCTTATTTTAGAAACTCCGCATAATTGTTAAACTCAGTTAAGAATATGAGTATCTAACTTCTACTCAGGTTTGAATAATTGAATGGTTATGTAACGCTGTAGAGAAACGGTGGTTTGATGTAGTTGAAACATTTGGCTTTCGGTTATTGGATTTCTTGCTTGAACATCATTCGCGACCTTGTACGATTGAAGCAGCCATTCATTAATTTCACCCGACCTTTACACAAAACATTCTGCCCTGATCCAGACCGACAGTGCTGCGTTCGAATCCCGCGTGTGGGGTCGTGGATGCTCACTACCTAAGAGTTCCACGCTAGGACGAAACAGCCATCCAGTGCTTCCAGGTTTTCAATGGCGGTTTAATACTGATCGATTCATGATCTCAATCGAAACATATAATTATTCAAACATATCTTGTTTCTTCTACTTACTTCAAGTAGTCAGATAGGCTGTTTTAGGTGTCACTTCAATCATGCGTTAAATGAATAACATGGTTTCAATGAAGTTATACGGCTGTGTATCTGCATGTTTTAAAATATGTAACAATGCTGATGAAACCTATCGCTCATTTTTATCGTTATTTCTAGGTCACGATGTGTGTGAGCCCTAAACACATGATTTAGAGAGGACAATAAGTAGTTTAATAAGCACACGTAGACTAAGCTGTCTATTGTGTAATTTTATCTCTCTCGATACCTTATCTCCACTATCAATTAATTACGTTCAAATACACCATTAATGATGAGTCATTAATTAGACATTATCTGAAATGAAAAAACATCATGAAAACACTTCATTGTTTTTCACCATTTAATTCTACAATCACATTATCTCTGTATGTGTATGTATATCTGAACACGTACACACACACACACACAGTTTCCCCTCGATCTCAATGTTCTGTGAGTAGTAGTATTTGTACAGTTCAGTTTTGCACATTTCTAACAAACGAATACACATTGATTGATGTTATAATGTTTGAGACATTTTATTTACTTATCTAATACAAACAAATTGTAGGTTGTTTAATTCTGATGATACTTCTATAGAATGATGATCTTATGTGTAATTGTGTATGTGTATAATTTTGCTTTCTAACATGTATACTATGATATTGGTATGTAGATATGATGTGGTGTATCATTTTGATATCATTAAAATAAAGAGTATTTTTTATTACGGAATAAAAATGACTATAAAATCGTATACGCATATATTGAGAACTGAATGTAAAGTAAAGGATAGTTACTATGTCAATTCTCATTTATCATTAAGGGGTTTTAGAGATTATTGAATTTCATATAAATGATGAATGGATTTCTAGAAACTTTTACTGGAAATTTCTGAAGTTCTTGTGAGAAGCTGTAATCAGTGAAGTTGGACTGTGTTGGGTGTGATGCAGTTATCCACTGATGACAATCGAAGATGGTCACGCAATGTCCTGGATTAATTGAAGTTAAACAACAATATCTTTGGATGCTGACTCAATGATCCAAAGGTTTAGCTTACTCAAGAGACCAACGGCACTAAGTTCGAGTCAC